GCTGGAGGAGCAGTGACCCAACTGAGCCTGGATTACAGTTTATGGCATCCCCGAGCTGAGAGCCGGCGCCTCGGCTCCATCTCTGCAGCCAACTTCCCTGCTCCAATACCTGGGAGCTCTGCCGCACTCAGGCACCCCTGGTGTTTCTGTGACCCCGAGGGTCCTGAGACCACACTGTCCCAACAAGGGTTCCACCTCCTGTTTAGCCACTGGAGCGATGTCCCTCAGCAGAGCCAGCTTCTAAAAGTTCCAATTTTGTGCTCCGGGGCTCTATCACTTGCCAGAAGTGGCCCACGGAGCCTCCCTCCCCCACCGTCTATCTTCCCAAATATCGCCTCGGATTCACTTCTCTGCCCATCTTACCTTCCAGAAAGTGGTTGCTTTTCTGTTCAGAGAGTGGCTGCTATTCTTTTCTTCGATCTCCTGTTGAGTTCATAGGTGTTCAGAATGGTTTGATACCTATCTAGCTGAATTCCTGGGACCAGGTGAAATTTAGGTGTCCTACTCCTTTGTTATCTTGCTCCTCCCCTGGTTCCATATAAATTTTAGGATCATTTGTTATTTTTGTTGAAACTACCATTGGAATTTCGATAGGGATTACATTGGATCTATAGATTGCTTTGGGTAGTGTGGACATTTTATTTCTTTTAAGATTTTCTGTATTTATTTTGAGAGAGAGTGAAAGCAAGAGAGAGAGAGAGTGCACAAGTGGAGGGGAGGGGCAGCGGGAGAAGGAGAAGCAGACTCCCTCCTAAGCAGGGAGCCCAACCTAAGGCTCAATCCCAGGACCCTGAGATCATGACCTGAGCCAAAGTCAGACAGTTAACTGACTGAACCACCCAGGCTCCCAGGGACATTTTAACAGTATTAATTCTTCTAATCCATGACACAGAATATCTTCCCATTTATTTGTGTCTTCAATTTTTGGTGTCTAATGTACAGATCATATACCTCATTGGTTACATTTATTCCTAGGTATTTTATTCTTTTTGATTCAATCGCAAATGAGATTATTTTCTTAATTTCTCTTTCTGATAGTTCCTTTAATAACAAAGTACTAATGTATATAGAAATGTAGCATATTTCTGTATATTGATTTTGTACTCTGCAATTTTACTGGATTTGCTTATTAGTTTAATGTATTTTTGTTAGAGTCTCTAGGATTTTTTTATATAATATCTTGTTATCTGCAAATATATATATATATTTGTAAATATCTAAGTCCCTCTGGTCTAACATGGTGTTTAAGAATGATGTTTTCTTATTGATTTTCTGTCAGGATGATCTATCCATTGATGTAAGTGAAGTATGAAAGCCCCCTACTTTCATTGTATTGCTATTTCTCCCTTTTGATCTTTTAATATCTGCTTTATGTATTTAGGTGCTTCCTAATTTCTTAAATATTAGATAAATATTATTGATTTCACCTACTGATTCATTTCTCTGCTCATTTTAGAAAGAAAAACAGACTTCTCTAAAAGGTTGTTATCGTCACTTGCTCTAATTTTTTTTTTCCCCACTCAATCACTCATGAACTGATTCCTATGAGTCTTTTGCATCCACTTCTCCATTAAACTTCTTTGTCAAGGATAAAAATGCTAAATCCAATAGTCGATTTCCAGTTCTCATTTTACCAGCCTCTCTGTTTTGTCTTTCTCTCTTCCCTGGCAACTACTGCTCTCTTTTCTTTGCTGGTTCTTCCCTATTTTTCCTATATTTTATACTGTAGGATTCCCAGAATTAGCCCTTAATCCTTTTTTTCTACGTACCCTCCACACCTTGATCTTGTTACTCAGACCACAGGTTTATTCTTTATCTCATCTATATGCCAACATACCCTAAATTTTTGCCAACTTTGATTTTTTTCCCCATAAGTCTGCGCTGATATATAGAGCTATATACTTATCCTTGTCATTCTAATATGCTCTCAAATGTAACTTGTCCAAAATCAAAATCTTGGTCTTTCATGCCAAACCTGCTTTTTTCATAATTCCTCCATTTTAGTAAATGACAATGCTGTCCTTTCAGTTGCTCAATCAGATATTTTGGAATCATCCTTGATTCAACTTTACTTTCAAATCCCACACTTTCCTTATTGAAAGCTTTATACTTTTCTCCTTTTTTTTTTCAATCTTATTTCCAAAGAGCTCAGAATTGTGATTTTTTTCAGAATTATAATTTTAAAGACTTATGTTAATCCTTGTCACTTCTCTGCTCAAAAATCTCCCATGATTTTCCATGTCTGTCAGAATAAAGCTCATGAAGAGTCCATATAGCACTCCAAATTCTGATCTGTGTTATTTCTTTGACTTCATTTCCTATTAATTACTCTTAATTCATTCCATTCCAACAATAGCCCCTTGCTTTAACTCAAACTCCCCTAGAGTGTCTCTATCTCAGGGTATTTGAAAGTACCCATCTGTCTGGAATTGTTTGTTTGTTTTACAGACATTCACATGGTTTATTCCTTTGTCCCCTTCAGATTTTGCACACATACCAATGCAGATTTTCCTGTCTTTCAGTCCCTTCTACACTCTTTGCTCTTTTCTCTGCTTTATTTTCTTGACTGTACTTACAAACATATTCAGCAATATTATATTTAATTTATTTATACCCTTATATTTTGTCTTTTGCCACTGGATTGTAAGTCCCATCATGATTTTGTTTTTGTCTGTTTTGCTCACTATTTATATCTTTCCACCCAGAGAAAGATAAATGCATATTAAGCACTCAATAAATATTCATTGAATAAATGAATGATTAAATTTTGAAGAGAACTTAAGTTTAGTGAGATTTATGGGGTTCAGAAGAGATTTATTACAAGCAGATAGTAAATAATTTGATGGATGTCATTGTGGATGCTCAGCAGATAGATGGACATGTAGGTCTAGGAGTCATATTAAAAATGAGTAATTCTAGTATTTGAAGCCCCAAGAAGGGGCCAGAGGTGACCACTGAGACAGAGGAAAGATAAATTGACATTGGTATCAAGAACCAAACTTGAACACATCTCTGCCTCCTGCTTTCTCTTTTTACCTATTATTTCCTGTGTACCACTAACTCCCCTGAAAAAACATATAAAAATTTTACAATGCCAATCTACATCAAGTAATTGGCTTATAATTTGTAAGGTATGAATAATTGAAAATATTAACCTTTCTAAAAATTTCTGTATAATTAGATATCTATTTTTGATAACCAAGATATAATCCCCAAATTGATAAAGATGTGGCAGAATTATTTTTGAAAAAAGTTTGTTATATTTTTGCCTACTTGCAATATTCAAAATATTTTCCCCTTTACCAAGAGTGAATTGCATGGTTTTTTGTTGTTTTCCTTTTTAATAGTAATAGGCATGTCTCATATTTTCCAAAACTTTACCACTCTTTTAATATCTGATGCACTTAATATGGGTTGATATCAAAAGTAATTCAGGATCTGCAGGTGATATAAACTGGCTGCACAAAGAACGAAGAGATGAATAGGGGACTTCAAGGTTGAGTTAAGGCAACAGAAAATGCTGCTAGTTGACAAATCATATTGCCACTGAAGGGTATTGTTAAAAATAAAGCTTCTGAAATAATTATGATGGAATAACTAAAATCATTTTTAGATTGAAATATTTAGGAGATTAGAATAGTTAAATCTTTGCTGCTCTCTAGAATAAGTCACCATTTGCCAGGAACCTATGAAATACTGAAGTTTTGAAGGGAATTACTCAGAAAGATTAGGTATTTTATGTATATTATACAGAATTTTGAATGAATTTATGTTGTGCTCTATTGTGCTCCTACTGCATGATCTGATAAAATATTCTGAAGGTGAATTATTTTACTCAAATAGTTTCCTGGTGTATAGCACATATTATGATATGTCCCAATTGAATAGATACTTTGTATTGTTTCCCACTGTCACATACTACAAATTGCAAACACTATTACTAATGTGCATATCAATGATAATTCTACATCCTTTATTATCAGTATGAATGATATAGCAACAACTTTGTCAGTAATTTCATATGGTTTATTATCCTCTCGTTATCATCTTTGTGTGTTTATCATATAGACTCTATTAAGCATATGTATGTATTTGTCTTCTCTCAATCCTCTTGGAATTAAAACATTTTATGGACTACTGATGGTTTTCCATACCTGATCACCAAAGTTGATGTCAGCTTTTAAAATGTATCCTGAGCATCACCTCATGATTTTACAAGCTAGTCTGACATAATTTCTGGTTTGAAAAAAACAAAACAAAACTCTTTTCTTTTTTTTTTTTTTTTTTTTGCAATGTGGGCCACAAATTTCCTTAAGGATCCAAATGGGAAACATATTTCAAAAAATCCAAACAATTAGTGGGCCTTGGTTGTTTTTTTTTTTTTTTAACAATGAAGTACAACAAATTTAAACAATGAAGTTTAATAATTAAAATTAATTACATTTAAAATTACTGCATGATTATATTTTGGAATTGAACCATTTGGTTCCTAATGCCATAAACATTCATAACCTCTCACTTTCAGCATTTCATATTCAATGTCTTATGATAAATTGTAACTTATTCTAGAGAATAATGAAGAATATTTTAAAAATTATTTCAATCCAAATTTATCATTTGAAATATGTATAAAGAGATTAAAAATTTATTTTAAGCTACTCCCATGTTTTGTACTTTATCAAGAATAACATTTTATTCTGGTCAAATATATTTCTATCCAGCATTTATCAATATTGAAATGACTTTCATAGATAATAAGAATGCTTAGTATTTCTAGCTCTTAGACTGCCATGTTTTCAAGTAAACCTGCAATACATATGAAATTTATATATTGAAAAAAATGTTCACAGTTTCTATACATTTGATAGAATTAACTGATTAAAATTATGTTTGTTGAGCTTGAAAAAAACCTCATTATTACCTAGTTGTCTAGTTATTGTCAATGTGTTTTAAAGAAATTAATTTTTATTTTATCTGAAGCATTTCTTTTTCCCTTTCAGGAGCTGGAGTTTTCAAATCTTTTTGCTGTTCTTCACTGCATTCATTCATTCTTCGCTGCCAAAGTAGCTTGTTTGGACCCTCTCTTCTTAGGCCATCAGGCTACTGCTTCTGCTGCTGCGAGCTCTGCTACTACAAGCAAAGCAAAGTATACAACTTGACATATGGAGCTTTGCATTGCCACTTACCATGACTATATAAAGAGAATAGACATCGTCATCATTTTAGACCCTGGAGAAACAATGATACCACCAAGTCAACAGTGAATTCAGTTTGAAATTTCAGCAGAAAACAAAGTCATAAGGGATCTCAAAAGCACTTCTGTTTTGGAAGGCATTTGTGAATAATCGTAAATGAAAATAACAGCTTGTTCTCACTCCATTTATTTGTTTATTTGTACCAGTATTTCATCGACAGTGAAGACGAAAGAAGGAATGATTCAATGTATGTAAATAATATAAAAATTGTAAGCTACCTATAAATAAAAATACCACCTAAATGGTTATTTCTGTATTTTAGATTATTTTGTATGACAAATACATGTTGGGCCTGATCATGAACTGATGCCCTATCATGGAATTATGAGTGATATATAAAGGAGACAAAAAACCACATGGCAGCAAGGAAAAAAGCATACAAAAAAATTCATCAAAGAAGAAAGCCCTTTAATTTGCTGATGTAGATTTTTCCTTGTATTCTCATTCTGCGAAATGACACTGGCATTCCAATTTTGTTTATCTTATTGTCAACTAGTCCTAAGATTTTCAAAAGAATAAATACATTTATTCTATGATAGTCACAATGTAAAATGTACTTTTTCCTTAAATCACTGATATCAATGTTTTATCGCTGTTAGTGTCAACCAAATATGCTGAAATGTGTTAATTTAATTATGAACCAAGGAAACATTCATGAACCTCTTGTTCTTTCCTTCACTTAAGGAGATTTATACTTACCTAATATGATTTGTTATCAAGGTTTCATAAATTTTCAGTGGCCCCAAAAACTTTTGTAGAAAAAATATCAAAAATGTTGTGTGAGAACCAATTCCTTGTACTCATAATTTTACTAGTTAATCATGGACTGAAATGACCTTAGAGTGTAGTCTCAGTTTTACTTATTTCAGGTAAATGATATTTTCCCATTTTAGTAATATTTTATGATAAAAATAAGGTAAGATATGAATATAAAATTTTAAATTTCTAACTTACCATGTCATAAAAAGTGATTATATAATGCCAAACTATGTGGGTTATTTTAGTTATCTTGTCTTAGTAAATGTGAAGAGGATGGAAATTTGAAAGCATCAGAGTATGTGCCCCTGACTCAGATCCCAGGGATTATATCACCATTTGTTTAATGTGGAAAACACTATCTGCCTTTTACTACAGCTGTACTGAGATCTGCTTTTAAACAACCAGCTGCCTATTAGAAAAAAGAAAAAAATATTTTTTTAATTAACACACATGTTCCCAACTAAATCAAACATTGTATAGTTCCTTATGAAGATGATGAAATATCCAATAAGGTGGTTTGATTTTTCTTTTTTAAACAGGAAAAAAAAAGTTATGCAAGAAGGAAACAAAATTATTTGCAAAAGGGACGCATGATCATTATGCTTTAAAATTTATCAAACTATTTCCATAATCATCATAAATTATTAATTCACTTTGTGTCTGGTTAATTCTTAAGCATGTTAAATTGAAAAGAAAAAGTGAAGGTTCATAATTGTACCTGGCAAGAGTTAAGTTTGATCAAGGACACCTTATTAAAAGAACTGTGGCTAATTGGACACTACATAGTTTTGATATATTTTATCTTGACCATAAAATTAATATACGTTCATAATTGGGATAATACTGTGGAATTATTGCTTACTAAGTATTCACCAAATAGAACAGTCATTCTAAAGCCAGAAGTCCACCAAAAGTAGGCTTCAGTAAGCCTCTCTTGAGTCTATGGGGGAAGAGTAGAGAGAGGCATCTGCCTCAGGGTCATAAACAGTAGTAGCCACTTCATTATAGAATCTCTGCTATGAGCTAGAGTTGTATCTTGGTGTGCCCCACATTGGGGCAACATTTATGTGTCCACAGTGTGATAATTTGGTCTACAGGTAATAGGAAATGGGCTAGTTAGCCAAAAGGAAAAAAATAGTTTTAAAACCTTATATACGTGTTATGTAATCATTTTTAATAAATATTATCAGATTTTGTAAAAGCTCCATTTTAAACAAAAAAAGACAATTTAATTAAATATCCTTTTTGTTATATCATAAAAATCTTCTAGTCTGTGCTAGTGTGTATGATGAAGGAAAAGGTGCACAATGAGATATGTATGGGTGTATATCTCCTTGTACAACACACATACACACATGTATATGTGTGTATTTGTATATAATAAAATGCTACCCACAAATTATATTAGAAGAATATATTTCAAGTACATATATTTAATATACTTAAATTTACACTGTAAATTGTAGCTTGAATTAAAATTTATGATAATACAATATTGTGTTTATTTTTGATACCATTGATAAAAAAACTAACAGGCCTAAATTACTACTTAACATTAGTGGAGCACCTACCTATTAGAAAAATATTATTCTGATGTTCATCAATTACCAAATAGTACTTAACATTTTCCTCTACAGTGGAATGATTAACCACTGTCATTTGTTATAACTTGGACTATTTGAATGAGAAAGCTTAAAAATGAACAAAATACTCAGATAAATCTCTATTTCTCATGTAATTTATGTTTAGATGCATGAGATTTATTCAAGAAATCCTAGTTTGTACTAGAGCACATTTTAATAACAGAATGCTTAATTATGTGTTAACCCCTCCAGTGCCTTGGGATATGTGTGTATGTGTGTGTGTGTGTGTGTGTACACATTATACATATATGTATACATATGTATGTGTATATATATACATATACATATATATGCACATTAAAGGGTTCATTATAGTGTACATAGTGCAAGCTCAAAGGGAATATTATACTATAGGTACTTAGGTCAGAGAAGGGAGTTCAAATATCATTTGAAGTATTTGTTAACTACTATAATAATGTATTTTGCCTAATAAAGGATAACAATTAATTTAAGCTAAAGTATATTGAAGCAGGAGCATTTTTAATTTGTTATACTGCAACAAATATTTATTTCAAAAATACTTTAAGACAGTATGAGTGTAATGTATACTCCAACATTTACCATCCAACAATATTTTAAGGGGAGAAACACCAGCTTATCATTCTTGCTCGTTTTTCAGGCAGGTACCAATTTAGAGTTTTAAAGTCTTTGCTCACAAAGCTGTCGTTAAACAGGAAGAAAAGTAATTACTTGAAAATAAATATCAAGTTCATATTAACCATGTAAGCAGAGAAATTTTCCTGAGTGCATTGGCTTATAGATAGACATTTCCTTCATTTACAATGACAAAGCTTGTTCATAAACTTTGTTTACATGGAATGTTGGGTTTGAGAGAGGCTTGATTTATTATTGTGGAGAAGTAATAATCCTAACAATTATTTAGAATTACTGCTAGAAATCAGCAGGTGGAGAAGCTTTAAAAGCACAAGGATGATCTTGTGCTTAACTTTTTAAGGTAAGTGTACATGTTCCGATATTAATAATAAACATTTTGCTACTCTTAATAGTGCTGTACTCATGAGCTCTTCTTAAGGAATTGCTTTATTCATACCTCTAAAACTCTTGTTTATGATTTATTCTTATTCCTTAATACTTTAAAATCATAATTCACTTATTTGCACATTCGAAGTTGCTTTTGAAGATAAAATATTATAAATGTTATATATTTTATACATATTAAAAATGCAATGAAAATACCAGAAATATGAAATGTAAATATATTTATTTCATTTTTAATTGTTTTGGTGGATGTTTGTAAAATGTAAATTAATATCTGTGACAAAAAACGTCACTTCATTCTTTAAGTTCATTAATGTACTACTAATAAAACTGTACTTTTTATAATGAAGCATACTGGAAAATAAAAACAAATACTTTTTACTACTTTTGTATTTGTACTTCTTGGGTTTGATTTGTAAGTTTCACATGTGTTTAGAGCATGGTTCTGACGAACTTAACTGCAATAAACAGGGGCAGATAAGAGCTGTCAGCCTGGGGTGCAGGTCTCTGGGGGCATGATCTGTTCTGGTTCATCAATATTTATGAATATTAGATATCTGACCCCTAAAGGCCCTAAAGATTGAAGAAAGATGCTGTTTGCCAAATTACTTAAACAACCAGACTTACGAAATTTGAAAACATGACAACTTTGATATTTTCAGTGGTCCATTGTGAGCCAAGTCTACACTGAGAGGATTGGTCTGACAGGACATCATCATCTGCCCCATTTGTAACTGAGAAGACCACAGTTGTCTTTCAGGTAATTACAGTGCCATAAAAGAGAGTGATTATAGGAATCACTTTAAAACAATTATTCCAGTTGTTATTCCTGGTGATATCTATATTTTCCAGTTGTTAAATATATATATATA